CCCCAAAACCCCAAAACCCCAAAACCCCTAGATAATAAATTTATTGAAGTGGAAATTTAATTTAAATATATTAACAATTAATAAATCAACCTATGACATCATTAAAACCATTTTTCAGATTTATTTTTCCATATTTCCTCATCTATTGCTTATAAACAGTTAGCTCTAACAAAATAGATCAATAAATGAAAATTTCTGACAGAGTTATAACACTTTAAAAAAGAAAATAATTTTATGGATTTCGCAAAGGATCTGTTTAAAAATAGTCATTCAAATTACTTAATAAAAAGAAAAATTTTGTGACTAATTTTCAAGAAAAACATTTATAATAACATTAAACTAATCAAATAATAGTAGAAGTTTCATGGTAGAAACTAGTAGAAGGTACAATGGAATTTACTGCTGGGATAAATGTTGATATAGGATCACATACAAATAACACTTGTTTTTCTGGATTTTTATCTATTGCAAAGAATGTATATCTCTACATCAATGGAAAAGATTACTACAATGATAAGACTAATCATGAACAAGGTTTAAGCTCTCTATTTTATCTGTACAGTATAATTGATGTATGGCCAAATATAAAATGTGGTTCAGAAAATAAAACAGCTTCAGAATATCTCTCCCTAAGCCTCAAATCTAAAAGCTAGTTAGATTAATACATATCCAAGAAGTTTAATAGTCAATTCTAATCATCTAATCAAACTGTAGTAAATCAAACATCTAATTCTACAAACTACACGATAAGCAATACAACATTGGAGTTAATCAAGTAGATACTGACCTATTTCCCCTATATAGATTTTATAGCTATAGTCCCAGACTTTTATACTTACATAGCTAAAGCTAAGTAATTGTTTAGTAGCAGTACAGACTTTGAAGGTGGCTTTGCTTTAGGGAAAGGATTAATCAATTTCACTGTTGTAGGTGTAATTATTTGTTTAATAATATATGATTAAGAACAGCAAAACCCAACCAGATTTTTCTAATTAGATTTTTTAGAGCAATATTACTTGAAATATTTATAATTTTGACATAATCCATAATATAAACTACTTCTCGTTGGAATTATATTTTCTTTGCTATTAAGTAATGTTGGATTAATGGGGTTTTGGGGTTTTGGGG